TTCAAGCCCCCAGTGTTCATGTATAATTTCAATCTAAATTCTTCACTTTCTTCTTACACATTACATTTCAGCATAGCAGTTTAGCGTTAGCTTTTCAGCATAAAGCATTCCCACTAGCAATTTCTTCAGGAATTGCATTCTCTTGTTGCACTTATTGTTAGTTGCTTTGGATAAAACAGTGTCTAATATTGTGGTGTCTACAACGTGATAATATAGTTGCATCTTTACCAATTAAATCTGTACCCTGATCCACATGATGTTTCTGTGTGTAGTGTTCTGGAGGATGTGTCTACCCGACTGAGTGCGGTCAATCTGAAGCAGTTCATCATCTCAGGGCTGGACAGTCTGTATGGAGAGGTGAGCTCACCAACACTTGGTCGACGGTTCAATTCCCACAGCAGGATCTGTTCTGATAATCCATTAAATGCTGGTTCAAGTTTAAATATACTTGACAAACCTTCTTTAATTTGATTATTTGTTGATGACTACCAGTTAACCTCAGGAAATTATAATGGGTGTTTTCACTATTATTATTTTAAAATAATCCTTTATCAAAAAAAAGTTTTGGAGGTTTGTCTTAATGAAAAATATCTCTGAAGTTATATAATATAATTTATACAGATGTAGAATAAATACAATACTCCGTTTTAAGTAGAAGGCCTTCATTAACTTTTTTACTCAAGTCATATTAAAAAAATATATTTATAGTACCAATAAGAGTACTCATTATACAGAATGCCCCATTTCAGAGTCATAAATAATATATTACTTGATTTTATAGTTAGTGATATACACATTTGTATGACTTTCATGTTGTAGCTGATAAAGGTGGAGCTAAAAATTATTTTTACATTTTTTAATTAACATATAACCTGGGCAATAAATGTAAGTAGTAACTAATAATGTAGTAGGGTAAACAGTGCAATATTGGCTTCAAAAATGTAGTATAAAGTTAAGTACCTCAAAACTGTACTGAAGTGCAGTATTAGAGTAACTATACATATTTAGCTTTTGTGTATGTGTTCCAGGCGGGAGCAGCGTTGAACTTTGACCTGTTGAAGTACGATGAAGACACCCTCACTGCTTTTCTGCGTGTTTACAGCAAGTGAGTTCAGCAGCAGCACAATGGAAAACACATTTTCACTCCTTCTACACAAGATGTTTTTTTTATGTGTGTGTGTGTGTGTGTGTGTGTGTGTGTGTGTGTGTGTGTGTGTGTGTGTGTGTGTGTGTGTGTGTGTGTTTTCAGGGGCTTGGTGAAGCTGTGGAGCTCCCTGACTCTGCTGGGCTCGTACCAGAAACAAGCCTGCGCCTTCAGAGTGCTTCAGGTCAGCACATCCAGATCAGTGTGCAAAAAGGATCTTTATGTTGTGCATTAGCTGCTTAGAGGCAGTTAGATATCTGAGTCGAAGTTAAATGATACATCTTGGGCTGCACAGTAAGCTCTAGTCGAGAGCTAATAGTACTGAGGCTCCTTATGGCAGTGGATAAGGGTTCAAATCTGATCCGCAAACCTTACCAGCCCCTCTGTAATAAGGGCAAAACAGACAAAGAAAAAAATAAGAGGATTGGATTCACCTTTATACTGTACACCTTTGTGTATTTTGAATGTTGATTTTTTGTATCCTAGATTTATGTTTAAAAATACAGAACCATCAATGCAATATAAAGAGACATTCTTCTTCACTGAAATCTACTCGGGGATGAACCTCAATGTTCATATTATACTGCAAGCAAAACAATGTGTGATCACGTATTGTCGATTTATTTGTGCAAGCTTTATTCAAGACTGCTTTCTTCTCAAGACAAGAATCTCGATTTGAGCCATTGCATAGTAGGTTTTCAAATGAAAGGAATTTGCTTGGTGTATAATGCTGCATAGTAGGAGAAATTCAAATGTTAAAAAATATAAAATACAAAAAAGGTAATATATAATAAGTATATCACAAATGACTGTTTATCGCATACAGTACAATTTTGGAAAGTGGTAGTATTGTCCGGAAATGTGCTAAATTGTCTTAGGAATGGGTAAAAAATTATATATATTCAAAAGCACTTATCTTTATCTGTTAACTTTAACCTACTCTTTGTTTTACTTAATTATAATGTTGTAAATGTTATGTTTACTGTTACTTTTCATATTTTATTTTTATTTATCTTCGATTCAACTCTTGCCTGTCCTTTCCTGTGTATCACTCTTATAGATATATAGATAGATAGATAGATAGATAGATAGATAGATAGATAGATAGATAGATAGATACTTTATTGATCTCAACCTTGGAAATACTTGCTGTTACTGCTCTGACACCTGATTTTTCCTACAGGTATTAATAGATTTTTATTTAGGGAACCTGAAGTGGGAAAATAGGAACTATTTTTGGGTTTTATTACTCATTTCTCAACCTTATTTCTTTTGTTTTGACTCCAGGTGTCTCCGTTCTTGCTGGCGCTGACAGGAAACAGTCGGGAGCTGCAGCTGGACTGACGGAGGATGAGTTTCCTGTGGAGCAGATTCTTTATTAACCCGAGGTGGCGGCGCTGCCTCTCTCCTCCCTCCTGTCGTCTGCTCCACGTCGGCCAGAAAGCCTCCCTCACCAAAGCGTTCTCTGCCCGAGATGTGCAGCTGTTCGCAGAGCTGACGGGTGACAACAACCCGGTCCACCTGGACCCCGTCTACGCCAGCACCACCGCCTTCGAGGCACCCATCGTCCACGGCGTCCTCATCAACGGTCTGATCTCGGCCGTGCTCGGGACCAGGATGCCGGGCCGCGGCTGCATCTTCCTGTACCAGGAGATCCGCTTCCCTGCGCCGCTCTACATCGGAGAGGAGGTGCTGGCCGAGGCCGAGATTCGCAAGATCAAGATGTCGTTCGCCTTCATCGCCGTGACGTGCTCTGTGAAGGACAAGGTGGTGATGGAGGGGGAGGTGATGGTGATGATGCCTGAGGAGCAGCAGAAGAAGGAGTGAGAGGAGGAGGAAGAGGAGGAAGAACATGATGTTATTTGCAGTGAATAAATAACGTCTCCATTGCAGCACAAACAGTGCAGCCCGACTTCCCGAAATATTTTGGTTGCAGCAGTATTTTTTCATGACAGAATCCCCTCCCTTTTGTTTTTGTGTTGTAATTGATGTTTTTTTTTTAGGGAAGTGCATTTGGATAGAGCAGCTAGAAGAAAGAGGCGTCAGTCGCTTCATTACATTTTTTGATGTTTAATCTGGTCTTTATTTTGTTTAATGTGTGAGATATTCTGTGTGGAATAAAAACAAAATCTTTTTTTTATGACAAAGTGATCTTTGAATTTTTTAGTAATTACAACCCCCTTCTTAAAATCAGACTGGGAAAACAATAAACACAAACAATATACTGCACAGCACAGAATTAAAACGTTTCAAGAATCATGAAAAACATCTAATAAAGTATTTAAATAGTGTCTCAGATATTTTCTTTGTTTTTTCTCGTTGAGGACCTACACATTTTTTTTGTTGTTCAATATATATATAAATATTCAATACTTCTTTATATAAATTAAAAACACTTACACCATAAATAGATGCATAAAGATCACAAATTGGTACAAAATTCTAATTAATTATTTGAAAATAGGTGATTATGTTCCCCCCATAGAAAGCTTACTAAGCAAGACATTTATACAAATAAAAAAAACGGTTTAATCAAACTCCCGTGTTTTGTTCAGTTATGGGGGTTAGGGTCAACTTCATAATTGTGCAATAGTTTATGATGGGCATTTCCCTTTGCAGTTCTCCCTCCGGACCAGCAGGTGGCACTGACGCTCCATGAGGTTGGTTGCGTAGCAGCGTTTCTTGGTTACGGTAAAGCTAAGCTAACAGCTAGTTTGCATCTTTCTGGCTGTTTCCTGCTCGGCTCAGCGGGGCTCCTCCTCAGTGTCTTCCCGGCGTTTTCAGTCAGTGACACACGGACGTTTACATCAGACTTTCACCGTTTATCTTCCGGGAATGTCTTACCTGGAGAAGCCGGCCCCCGGCAGGCTGCTGCTGGACGACACCGTGCCGCTGTCTGCGGTGATCGAAGCCAGCCAGAACCTGCAGTCCCACACGGTGAGTGTTTATCGGGAATAAAACGGCAGTTAACCATTAACAACATGTAGGTTTAACGGCAATAGCTTATTTAAATGGTTAATTAGTGGTAGATGTTAATGTCTGGCTATTGGTGAGTTTACAAATATATCTTAGTTGGTTTACAAGTGGGCGTTTGAGCCTCTCGCTGCGTCACCGGTTCCTTTATCGGACACAGATGTGAAAGCTTTATTTCGTATCCTTTCCTGTACATCGTTACACTAACCACCAACCGTCGTTCACAACTAAATACATAATAGTTTTAAAACAGAACAATCAACTCAAACAATACGTGTATAGTCAAATTGTAAGCATCAGTGTTGTAACATAGATCCATTATCGGACAGACAGGCAGCTGACCCTGGCTCTCTGTCGCTGTCACTGATTAAGCAATTTCCTGGAAACTCTCTGCAAACTGCTGATATACAGGCTTTTTGAGTGGAGCACTGACAATGACTGACTGGATGAAGGACCAGGAGCTGAGACAGTGCCAGTGAAAGCCCGAGAACAGCCGCTGATCTAAAGCACATTAAACCGAAGTCCAGTTAAAGTTTTGCGTTGTATAAATTCCTCTTATTTCTGACCCACAAACATTCTCTAAAACATAAACTATGGTCGGTTCGAATGTGTAATGGTCTTTTGCAACATAAAATTTAAATACGTATGTTACATGATTTATCCCTTTTACATCCTTCTCAGAACATTGTATCAAGACCACACGCCTTTTACAGATGTAAAACATTCATAATTTACAAGTGCCAAATTATGTATGTTATCTATGGTGAATTCAAAATGGAGTGGATTGTATAACCTTTTATAAACAACAAGCAATTAAGTATGTTTCCTCTAAAGGAGCGTGGCATATTCCACCAACATTAAAATTCCATCATGCTGGGAGTAGCCAATGATCAGCATTACTTTGAACTGAAATGTGTACTTTAAATTCGTGTGTGCAATACAAAAAAGACGTTAATAACAATGGAACTAGCCTTGTTAATATTAAAGCAGGACATGTAGTCTGTCCGATAACGGACGCATGTGCGGTTGTTTGTTGTTGTCAGTCCGACAGGGATCAGCTGAGCTAGCCGCTTAACCAGGCGGGCTAATGTCAGGCATCTGATCATTGTTGGTGTTAATGTTAGAGTAAAAGAAAACCATAAACGCATAGGAGAGACTAATAATGTTGGACGAAATCATTATATTCATGTATTTAAAATTATTTGTATCAAAAACATTGCCTTCTCCTCGTTGCTATAGACTTATTGTTTTTTCTATTAATCTACATTGAAAATCAACCAGAACAGCCACATTTTCTGTTATTCAGAATCCAGATTTCCTTGAGGCTGGATCTGTCAGATGACTTCTGAATTTCCCAACTTAAGCAGCTGAAATTAATGCAACACTGTGAGGCCAGGCCCCTGCTTACTCTTACACTGTGCTGGGGAAACCCTCATTTAAAGTCACACACAGACATTTGTATTGACACAAATTGCTAGATGAGTGCTGGATAATAACTTTGTCGTTAGGTCAACTACATTTTTTCTAGATTGCAAATACAAGCATAATATTATTGTTAAAAGGATAATACTCCAACTCGGTGAATCTGCTGATACTACTGCACTTATTTTCCCCAACTGGAACTCATTGGGATCATTGACATGAGGGGATTACTACAGTGAGTCTGCAGCTCGGCGGGACTGCATGCCTGTGGCAGGGGAAAGGCCACTGAGGGCAGGCTCTCTTTTACTGATTACCCTACATATAAAACAAAAGAAGCACATGACTGTTACAGTAAACATCAACACATTATACAACAATCAGGGAAGTGCATTAACATAAAGAACATCAACTGAAAGAAAACAAATGCATTCACACTGCTCTGTCAGTCAAACGGGATTCAAATTGTTTTAACGGGATTAGCTTGTCTAATTTAACAAGCTTTCGCAGATTGTTTCAATTGTGTATGGTATAGTATTAAATAGCTAGTTCCCCCATCTCAGTATTAACATGATTAATTTCAAAGGCCAACTATTTTTGGGAGCTAATTAACTTTGAATTTGATTGATAGTTAAAGAGACCTAGAAGATATTAGGTAATTTGTCACGAAGAGCTTTGTAAATGTCACCCAATATTTTTTATAAAGTCAGATACTGAATTATGTTCCAGCGTATTGCAGCATCCCTATTTTTCAAATATTTTTGTTTTTAACGGCTTCTGCAAGCCCAAGATGATTGCAGATTAAAGGTCAGCCTTACAGACTCACGAGTGGAGAGTTATGAGGATAGCAAGAAGGCAGGTTTATTATAACTGCAATTCAAAGTACCTTGCATAAGGGATTTTAGTTCATATCGGCAAGACAAGGTTGGTTTATTTATGTAGCAGATTTCAATGAGGCAATTCAATGTGCTTTACATACAAACACAATAAAAGCATTAAGATAAAGTGTAACAGAAAAGCATTATGAAACAACGTCTCAAATACCGGTACCTGTAAAAACATTACATTACATTTAGCTGACGCTTTTATCCGAAGCAACTTACAATAAGTGCATTCGACCAGGAAGATACAAACTTGAAGAAAACAAAATCATATAAGTACGTCAAGTTTCATAGAGCTAAAACATTTCAAGTTCTACTCAACTAGCTTTAGATAAACCAGTCCTTTATTAGTATATAAGTGCTTTGTTAGCAATTCTTTGTTAGTAATTATATCGATCGAAGTGGAGTCGAAAGAGATGAGTTTTCAGCGCCGGAAGATGTGCAAGCTATCTGCTGTCCTGATTTCAATGGGGAGCTCATTCCACCATTTTGGAGCCAGGATAGCAAAAGTTTTTGCTGATGGGAACTTGGGTCCCATTTTACATACATAAAAAAGCCACAAATAACATTGTAGTGGCTATTTTTCAAGAACAATAAAACTTCAAAAGGCCACTGAGGCACCATGTACGGCGGATCTTACGCAGATCATGAGTGAGTAAATGAGTCCATTGTCCAGTCAAGGCATCAACGTTTTGTGGTGTTTATTGTAGTTGACAAATAGCCACTACAAAAAGTAAAAAACCTCCCTAATTCAAGCGGACACTTTTGTTGTTTTTTTTGTGGATTTTTTGCACTGCATGGACGTTTGGACTGGAATCACCACCACGCTCAAATGGAGATGATCATGCTGATCAAAGGACAAAGGAACATGGACGCCGGCGCATCAGCGTTTGATCTGGAAATCTGAGACAATGCTCATTGACTTTGTGAAACTTTGAATTGCCTGTTAAAGACACGATCGGAGAACAGAGGACCACCCACGGCTTAAATGGACGCCGCACAAACCATCTCCACAACAACATAACATTGGTATGTGAAGGATAATCTGTCAGCTTTATTGGAAAAAAGCAAACTTATTTGGAGTGACTGAATTACTGTTTCGCTACAGGTTGATGAATATTGGGAGTTGTTGGACTTGAAAAGACATTTATTCATAAATCTCCGACATGAAGTGTCAATATAATTGCCTGTGTGAACTCAATCAGACAATATGGAGCAGCTGGTTGAGACAAACGAGACAATGCCTGTGGTTGATTCAGTTGTTTCAAGTGTGGAGAATGTTGCTCCGCACGAGCCCTCTGTAGAACGGGGCCTCAAGTTTACCCCAAAAGGCTTGGCGTTTTCCTTAGAAACGTGCCAAGAAAAGAGATCGGCAAAAATCAAGCAGGCCAAAAAATACATTGAACCAATACGTGTCTGGATGAAATCTACTGACAATGTCTGTGCTAGCTCATTTGTGCAACTTCATCAAGTGTTATGAGGACGCGAAGGACATGCATGAGTCTTTCATAGATATGGATTTGCCCGAGGAGGAGGTCAAAAGGCAAAATACATATTTCAATGCAACAATGATGACATTTTGTAATTTCACTGAGTCTGTAAAGGATTGGTTGTCTGCTGCTGGGCACCCTCATGTGGAATCAAATGTTGACAATGAAGTTGAAAATAATGACAATGTTGACAATGAAGTGGAAAATAATGACAATGATGTTAGCAATGTTGATGTTGAAACTGATGTTGAGACTCAAACTAAACAAAGTGCTGTTATTGATGATATCAATCCGGAGGACATTGCCTCTAACATTTCAGGTCCAAAGGAAAGGCAACACAAAACACACTAATGTATCTAAAACATCATCCACCGCATCTGCCAGGCTAAAAGCAGAGGCTGATAAAGCAGCAATTGTGGAGCGCATGAAGGCTTTAAAAAGGAAACATCAGTGTGAAGCAAAGGAGGAGGAACTAAGAAAAGAAAAGGAGGAACTAAGAAAAGGAACAGATTGCTTTGGAGA